AAGACAGGCCGAGGGCGCAGGGCAGTGTTTGTTAATTCTTATTTTAAATGTTCCCACCTGATTACTCAACCTTTGCAGGTGGCCAGATCAGTTCGGACAGGTGGGGGAGGGGTAGTATTATTATAGGAATTTGCATGTAACAGAGCTGCAACTTCAAAGTAAAAAGTTATCAGGGATTCCTAGATTAAGGTAGCAGCTACTCTTTTCAACACTCGAGGACCACACTATGGATAAGTATGCGTCCGTGCGCGTGTGTGGGAGCGGGGGTGCGTGTGGGGTACATAGGCCTGATAATTTGCCAGTACACACTGTCGCAACCGTACGGGTGGTAAACATTGGCAAGCATCCAGACTAGTTGATCAATAGCCTCCCTCACACCCCAGCCCCCTAGCCCACAGCCCCCTCTCTTTCCGCTAGCCTCTTCCTAAGCTCTGGGACCTTCCTCCCATTCAATGGCTGAAGAGTGATCCCGGCAGCAGGGGTACTCCAGGACCTGCTCAGGTACCAGGCTTCCTGCTTCTGTTCTTGTTGCTCATACCCTGGCTGAGCTGGCCGCTGGCTATTTTATTTTTATTTTTTTGTCAAAAATCAATAAAACTTTATTTGCTTCCATTGCTTCGTCATTAACAGAAAATTGGAAAAAGCAAACATGTTTTGTGTTTACAAGGATAAACAGAGCCTCTTTACCCAGAGAAGATGAAAGCCTCAAGGGACCACAGGGAAGATAAACCCCCTCCTCCCGCCCCCACCCCCGCCCCCAGCTGCCCTTGTCACTTTAGACAAAGCTTCAGTCCCCTGGCCAGGGACCCTGTATGTGGCCAACTCAAGATGAAGGCCAAGAAAGCAGACCAATCCGTTCCTGTGATATAAAGCCAAAAGAAACTACACCAAGGGTCAAGTGCCTGGATTTTATAGGACGCAGGAACCAGGTGGCTGCTTATTAAAAAAAAAAAAAAAAAGATTCATTTTAGGCACAACTTTTTATGTTTTGTTTTGTTTTTATATCAATAAAAGAAAGCAGTCCTAGATCTGCATTTGTCTTTTGTTTAGTTTGTTTTGTATAAATTTAATTAAATTATGATACTGCTGCACACTTCATTTGCATGAAGTTCTGCGCCATACATACTAAGTGAAGTCAAGTTACCCCTCCCGGTTCCCATGGGGAAAAACCACTCTGGAGGCGCCTGGCTGGCTCAGTCGTAGAACAGGGAACTCTTCCTCTCAGGGTCATGAGTTCAAGCCCCACACTGGGTGTGGAGCCCCATAAAAAATCTCCTCTGGAAGATAGTTTTCACTGAAATCTAACCAAACTTCGTTTCCTAGACTGTGAGAAGAGTATAAATAATATGAAAAATAGGCTCTTGGTTCTTTCAGACAGGTTGTGTGTGTGTGTGTGTGTGTGTGTATGAGTGAGATGGTGTCTGTGTGACTCTCCCTCCTTCCCTCTGCTTCTTTATGGACAAGGATTCCGTTCTCCAACACAAGGCTTCAGATGCTTACTCTAGGTTGCTCAGGACCATCATGACCTCCCCATGCCCTCTCCACATCCTGACCCACACTTATCAGCTCCTATTTCTAACTGCCAGGTTCGAATTCCTGGCGGCAGGCACCACATTCACTTTTCCGATCAAAATCACTTCACTGACTTAGCCACCTTGACCCAGCCACCAAAGTGGCAGGGGGAGAGGGGGCTAAAGGTCCGGGCTCCATGGAAGGTCTGGGGATGGTACTGATCTGCACAGAACGGATAGCTTTTGTAGGAATTAATTCTGAATTAATTTGTGGGAGTTCATGTAAGGTCCGGAACATAGTGAAGAGTCGATGAATCCTTTCTGAATCGGATTCTGTGAGAAGCTAGAAATTAGACCAGTGGCACCAGCTAAAACCCATGACATTAAGCTTTGTGGAGGCTGTGGGTGGCTGGATCTTACGCTGCAGAGAGGAAGGGAGGATTTCTGCTTTATGGGGCTCTTGTGAGGCTGAGATAAGAAATGCTGTGTGCATGGTGGTGAAGACACTGGATTTGGGGGTCCATCAGACCTGCTCCTCCACCCCAGAGGGCTGGGGGCGGATGACTCAACAGCTTACATCATAAACCTCCCCAAAATTGGAGATGGGGTTATTGGAAAACGAAACCACCAAATCTGAGGCAAGCTCTTGCATGGGCTGGAGGTGCCGGTGAGGCTTTCCTTCCAGAGCACCGCCCGCACATACGGATAATGCCCTAGCGGCTCATTCCCATGAGGAAGCATCTGATTGGCTCAGCTTTGGTTTGTCTCTTCCCTAAACCAATCAGGAACAGCGGGCTGGGGAGGGGCGGGATAGGGGCAGCTTGAGCCCTGGGGCAATCACGCTGGGGGCATATCAAATGACACCAAGCCTTAAGCTCACTCTCTGACACATACTACTGACATTGAACATAATGTATTTTTTTGCGCGATAGTGCTTTGCAAAATGTGGAGGAGCTTGTTTCCCTGTCTGCTCTTACTTTGCTGACCTCGTGCCACATGCCATAGGGGAGAAAGAAGTATAAGAAATTGCCCTACCTCCAGGGATCTTACAGTCTTCAGGAGAAAAACATCAATACATAATTAAGGGTTTGATTTTATGATACAGATCGCAAGTGTCCAAAGAGATAGTGGAACACTTAAAAAAAAAAAAAAAAAAAAGACAGGGGTGGTGGTAAATGAAAGAAAATTCTAGGAGACAAACAGGAGTTTTGTAAGAAAAATAATTTGGAAAAAATCAATTTTGAGGCCAGACTGGAAAGTGATTTTCTGTTCCATTTCCTTAGCAGTCTCATACCCATAACAAAAATAGACTTATTTATAATGTCATTGATTGCCTTGTGTATAGAACTAAGAATATAAAATAGGAGGGGGGTACATTCCATTTTGACAAATGCAGAAATAACAAGGAAAATGTACTGAACATTCCTCCACTCCTCCCTCTGGATCTTTTCTGTTCTGTCTGACTCCCTGCCTTGCCAAGCAATTTCTTTTTATCCCCACGAATGAAGCAATTTACATGATTTGAGTTTGGCTTTGTTTGTGTATTACTGAGAAACGTCCTATACCTCCACCATCAATTATCTTGAACAATATCATGAAGACACTGTAAAGAAATGTACGAAAAATGCATCACAAACACACACACACAGAGACCATGATCAGACTATAGTATTAAGAGATAAATTAACATTCCCACTCCTCTAATTAAGGCTCTTCGCCTGTTTGTAAAATGGAAATAGAAACATCCCCTAATAGGATGATAGGGCTGCGCTCTGATTATGGGCCAGCCTGTGGATTTTTGTTAGGACTCTGCCTCTCACCTGCACCTCATATTCTGTCTCAGGCAGGCATTTCAATATTGCCACATCCTGATTTCCTGCAGTGAGGCGATTTCATAGCGAATGGCCCTGCAGTGCAGCAAGACCAACAGTAACTTGGACATGACATCTTCAAAAGAGTTGGTTGTTGTATAGATCAGAGGCTGGAGGGGTGTGTGTGTGTGCGCGCGTGCGTGTGCTCGCGTGTGTGCGCGCGTGTGTGCGCGTGCACGTGCACAAACATGTGCGGTATGCCGAGGCTTATTTAAAGCTCTTTATTCAAAGAGCTAGCTGGTCCAGGAAGAATAATTCTGACCCCGTCTTTCCTTTATTCTACCAATATAAAATAGCCAACATTTTTCATGCTTTGTCCTGGGCATTTTATACCCATTAAGTCCTCAAAACAACTCAAAGGACATATGATCAGTATCACTTTTATACATGAGAAAACTGAGATTAAGGAAAACAGAGAGGTGAAGGAAATTGCTCGGATAAAACAGCACATTCTGGAGATAGGATTTGAACTCAGGTAATTTGACTCCAGAACTCATATTGTTAATCCATTCACTATGCTAGCAGAAGACATTTTGGGGTACTGTCTACACATACACAGCAGAACCCAAGAGATGATTGTGAAAAAGCTCATTTAAAATATAATCATAAATTAATACACTCAATTTCAGATCCTGGTTCCAGAAAAAAAAAAAATGGCTATACAGATCAGCTTGATGTGAAACTTTTCTTCCCCTTAGCCCCACTTCCTATCAATGAATTTCCACTCCATTCACACCAAGGAACTCCCTGCCCTGCGGGGGAAGAAGAGCTGTAATCCCATAGTAATCTACATTTATTTTAGCTGATTTCAACCTTAAAACAACCTTGGGAGTTGGTAAGCATTTTTATTTCATCTCCACTTTTAAAAGGAAACAGAAATGTAATGAAAGACCATGGGCTTTGTAGCGAACCAGAGTTACATCCAACTCTAGAACCTGGCTCTGACCTGACTTGGTTACTTAATGTATTCAACTACCTCTCGGGGTTGCTCTCATATTTCTTAGTAATACCGATAACGTGCCTGATGCATGGTTAAGTTCTCCCTCATATGCGGCTTTTATGACTGACCAGAGCTCAGAATACATCAGTGACTTGCCCAAGGTCACACAAGCAGTGAACAGAGCAGGCACTCTGGGGCCTCTGATGCTAATCCTGTTTCCCCCTGCACGGTGCCCATTATAGAGCTTAGGCAGTCATCTATTGTTGGCTCTGGTAGTGCCAGGAATAGAACAGGGACTGCGTGTGTACCTGTATCTACGTATTTATATAGATGCATTTAACATATTTTTCCTTTTTGTTTCTTAAGTGTCCAGGGGAAAAAAAAAAAAAAAGGTCAAATCAAAGTTGTCTGATATTTTTCCTGGTAAAAATCTGCTGCCCAAATCCTCAGCCCATAATGTCAACACTAGAGATTACCATTAGAAGAGGGAATTAAAACTGTGGAGAAATCCATCCTACAACTGCAAAACCTGCAAAGCTGCTCCTAGGACACAGCCCAGTTGCCTTCCTGGCTATGACTCCACCCTCCTAGGGACCAGACCGAAGAGCCCACCTGAGACCTCTTAAGACACCAGGTTAGCATTCATTTCAGTTTGGTGGGCAACGAGTTCCTTCTACAGAAGATGTTCATCTTCCTTAGCCCCTGTTTAAAACAAAGCAGAACTGAAAGAGAAAAGAATGAACAGTGATGGAGAGAAATCTCGGTGTGGGCCAGGGAACTGTTTCCCGACCATGAGTCAGCAGGGTGACGGTGTTATGTAACTCGAAAGCACGGTGCTGGAAGGAGCCAGAGCATCTGAGAACAACCATAGAATCTGGAGGTGCAGGGCACCTTAGGGCAGTCTTCTTTAAAAAAGTTTTTTAATGCAGTCCACAATCAGAAATACATTTTACAATCGCAACTCAATATACACATATACAAGTAAATGTAACAAATAAAACTTTTACGAAATAATTTCTATCCTTACTTCATGTGATGCATTCTAATATTGCCTATTTTAAGCTATCCTATTCTTTTTCGCTTCCCAATGAATTACTTTCTCAAGATGCTAATGGATCACTACAAATAGTTTGTGACTGGATGGGGGTGAGGTGGGGGAAGGGGGGAGATCTGCTTTGGAGAATATCTCATTCAATCCCCTAATGCAATGCCCATGAAAACTCCTGATTTGCATCAGCATGAGGTAATCTTTAAGAATATCAAAGTCATTCAAGAAACTTGAGTTTACAGGTAATGATACAACAAAAATAAAAATAGCCACCTACCATTTTGAGCACTTACTATGTACTAGGCGCTATGCTTGTTCTCGATATGTATATGCTATTCTGTCCTCACAACAACCCTTTATGTGGTTCTATCATCACCTCCCTTTTGCAGGTCAGAAAACGGAAGCCTCACCAAAGGCTAACTCCTTGTCACAAAGGGTCATCTAATCCATTTGAAGCTAACTTGTTTGCAGGTGGGGGGAGGGGTGGCGGGTACTGGGCATCAAGGCTGCTGTGATTTCGTCCTGTTTTCTGTACAGGCAGCTTGCAGACCCGGGACTGGCCCAAATGCCAACACTGAGCAAACAAAGCATCTCTGGATCTTCATGCACCTCTTGCCTCTGTTCTCAGCCTGTTGACTTTTATTGTCAAGGTCGGAAGTGCTACAGCGGCTCCAGGCGTCATAATCCCACTTGACTTGCATCTAAAGCAGAAAAGGAAGAGAGGAAAAGGACTTTTTCTTCAAGAGTTTTGAGTGGAAAACTCTTTTCTGAAAGACCTCAACATTCTTCTCCTTACATCTCCCTGGCCAGATCCCAGGCAGGAGCTCACCTTGGACCACTCGTTGGTGCAAAGGCTCTGTCCTCTCAGGCAGGTGTATTGCTACTCCTACAAAATCATGAGTCGGTCAGTAAAGAAAGGGCCATGGCTGTGGGGGAGGCAGGAACAGTGTCTGCTACCTTCACTGTTGAGGATCTGGATCTTGCTCACTTTTCCAGCCACATCTCTCCCTTTTCCTCCCAAGGCTGAAGTCCCACTCAAACTGTACTGAACATTTTTTTTAGCACTTTAAGTGTGCCATGTCTTGCTAATCTTAGGTCCTTTACTCTACTTCTTTCCTTTGCCATGAAATATCCGTTAGCTCACCGCCATCTCTTATGCCTTGCTAACCCCTACCTTTTTTTAAGGTCTTAGATAAAACGTCCTCCTTCTTCAGGAAACCATACTTGAATAAAGTCTGGGTTAGGTGCCTCTCCTACCCGTTCTCTCTGCTTGGCTGAAATTGAGTTCAGAGGCCAATTCTTGTGCCCGCGGTCCCTACCAAGGTACCTGGTTTTTAATAAATGTTTATTGAATAAATGAGTAAAAGTCACCATTGTTAAGTGGAAAGGGCTTTTTTTTTACGATTTTATTTTATTTATTTTTTTTTTAAAGATTTTTTATTTATTTATTTGAGAAAGAGGATGAGAGGAGAGAGAGAGCACATGAGAGGGGGGAGGGTCAGAGGGAGAAGCAGACTCCCTGCCGAGCAGGGAGCCCGATGCGGGACTCGATCCCGGGACTCCAGGATCATGACCTGAGCCGAAGGCAGTCGCTTAACCAACTGAGCCACCCAGGCGCCCTTACGATTTTATTTTTAAGTAATCTGTACACCCAATGTGGGGCTCAAACTCACGATCTAAGATCAAGAGTTGCGAGTTCTACCAAGCCAGCCAGATGCCCCCAAGGGCACTGCATTTTAATATCATCTATTTTGAGTATGTGCCAGAGACTTTATCAGACATTCATACATCACATAACAAAATTGCAGAATGTATTCATCCCAATTCATCCCAATTTTATTCAACTGGAAAACAAGATTCAAAGGGATCAAGTTACATGTTCAAGGTCACACAGCTTGTGAAAGACAGAGACAGGATTCAAACCTGTCCTTGATTCTAGAGCCCAAGGATTTTCTACTCCGCCCATTGAGAAATGCATTAACTCTGAGTCTCTTGAGTCTTTTCCAGCCCTAGTTTGTGGTAGTAGGAGTTGACAAATACATACATATATATGTGTGTATATATGTGTATATATATATGCATATATATGTATGAAGGGGGAGGAGCAAGGGGAGGGTCAAAGAAAGAATCCTAAGTAGGCTGCATGCCCAGTGTGGACCCCAACGAGGGGCTCCATCTCACAACTCTGAGGTCATGATCTGAGCCAAAATCAAGAGTCAGACACTTAACAGACTAAGCCACCCAAGCACCCCTACAAATATTTTCTATAAAGAACCAGACAGTAAATATCTTAGGCTTTGAGGGACAGAGAGTCTCTGCCACAGCTAATCAATTCTGTCGTTGCAGCTTGAAAGCAGCCATAAAGAATGCATAAACACAAATGAGCATGGCTGTGTCCCAGTAAAAATATATTTTCAAAAACAAGTAACAGCCAAATTTGACTCACAGGCTGTAGTTTGGAGATTCCTGACCTGGAGCAATTCAGTTCCTCCTACTTAGCTTTGGATTCTTCACCAGTAAACTGGATGTTTGGATTTTATACAACTAAGCTGACTTTCTACTCTGAAACTCAATTATTAATTATTGTTCTGAACCCCAGAAAACATCCCATTATATTCACTTTGTTAGTGATAGGAAGGATAAGTGTAAGGGTTTACTCAATTCAAATATAAACAAAAATTTAACATGTATGCTCCCCCCAAAATTAAAAATAAATACACAAAGAATCAAATGAAGAGTTGAGCCAATATAAACCAAAAGCACAAAGAAAGGAAGAGTTTAGCTACCTATATGTTCTCCTGTGAGAATTGCTTGCTTTAGCATTTCTACTCAATCAAATAATCTAACACTTCTTTGAAAATGCAGTCTTCCCAATTTTAGCCTCTACCATCCCTAAGAACTTAAGTGCCATAATTCCTCTCATCTTAAACATTGATTTTTGCTTTTAGAAGTTTGTAATTCCTACATCCAGAAATAACTGTGAATAGATTTGAGACAGGGAAGCAGAAGGGACCTCAGGAGAGAAAAAGCTGTTTTTCTCCTTTGTTTCTTTTCCTGCTTCTATTCTGGCTCAGACCAGCACCCCCAGCACACCCTATACATGTCTTGTGATGCAAATAGTGTCCCTCCCAAGGGACAGGGAGTTAGTAATTTCTCTAGAATAGATGACATCTAAGGAAGGACCAGGCAAGAAGGACCTGCCAAAGCCATCATGCATGTATTCCAGACCACCAGAGCTGATCATCTCAACACCAAGACCCCCTGGTTCCACCTGGGCCCTCGCCTTTGCTCTGAATGGTTCCCTGGATGCCTAAAAGGGCACATACACCAGACCATCGTCCTTGATAAAAACCGCAGACCCAGAACAAAGACAAAATCATGCCCCATTCCTTTCCAAGTCTCCCAGATGGTCCATCCGTATCTGTTCTCTCTATATCTTCACTAAATTGTGCTTTCACCTCCTGCTGGCTCACATTCGATTTCTTTATGAAGCCAAGGGGCCCTTTGGCCAGTCCCGTGGGACCCCCCCTGGGTCCTCAGACTCTGTCCCCCAGCATTCGAGTTATTCATCATAAATCTTTGGAAATCCTTAAATAAATATTTAGGATTGTTGTAAGTATGAAAGAAGATAATGTGCCTGGCACAAAACCCAACAGAAAGGAGGTGTTTCATACATTGTCATTGTTGGTGTGGTTACTAATATTATCAGTTATTTTCACTTAATATTGATGTCAGAGGCAATGCCTTATTCATTTGAGCAGTGGTCCTTAACTGGAGGTAATTTTGCCTCCCGAGGGCTATTGGCCACTATCTGGAGACATCTTTGGTTATCACAACTAGGGCTGCTTCTGGCATCGGTGAGTAGAGACCAGGGATGCTGCTGAACATCCTCCAATGTACAGAATAGCAAAGAGTCTGGCACAGCTCCGAACCTCACACAGAGTAGGTTGTCAGTAAATGCTGGTGTCTGAAGGAATAAATGAATGAATGAGTGGATGGATAAAGACAGTCACCATCATGATAATATCCTGCCTGTGCCTTATACCTTGCTAAGGAAATCTGGGTCTATTGACTCCATAACATTTCATTGATGTATACACTAGATTAAATGCCTCATGTCAGCTGTGACCCCGTATGTATTGTTCAAAGTTGAACCTCCAGTGCATTGTGTAGTAATGACACACAGTATCTCAAATGAGGGGCGCCCGGGTGGCTCAGTAGGTTGAGCGTCCAACTCTTGGTTTCGGCTGGGGTCGTGACCACAGGGTTGTGAGATCGAACCCTGCATCAGGCTCCACACTCAGGGGCAAGTCTGCTTGAGATTCTCTCTCTCCCTCTCCCTCTGCCCCTACACACCACCCCTCCGCTCTCTGTTTCTCTCTCTCTAAAATAAATATATATATCTTTAAAAAAATATATATCAATTGATACTTGACAAATAAACGCTAGTCCGAGAATAATTGAGGGAAATAATCTCTCCCTATCTCCTGTGCCTATTGCACTAAATTCGTTTATTCAACGATTATTTCCTGAGCTCTGCTTTGTCCCGCCTCTGTCCTTGGGGTTGTAATGATAGGGATCTCCTTCGCACCCTCCATCCCATCCCCATTCCACCGACCCCTCAAAGAGTAGGGTTGCACCGTAACAAAAAATTTCATGTCGTTCGCTGTTTTTCCACAAACAGGGGAAATTGTGCCCCGCAAACCCCAGCAGCACAGGCAGCCCGGCTTACTCCACGCTGACAGGGTGTATGCATTTTTATGGGGCTGGAATAATATGTAGAGATAATCATGCTGGAGGAGCTGAGGCAGAAAATGCAGGAATGGCAGCTGAAGGAGTAAGCATACCTGGGGAATTTCCCTGAGCTCCAGGCGGCAAAGGAGACTTCAGGCCCCCAGGGGATGAAATGAGTGTTGTCGGTTGACAGAAGAGGCGGTGACTACAGGAGGCTTTTTGCTTTCTGTTTGTGTTTGTGTTTTTGTTTTAAGCCTTTGCCTTAAAGGAAGAAAGAGAAACATTTAGAGAAACATCCATTTTAAAAATTTCCCATCTGGGAGATTCTGCCTTCCCAGGAAATATTAACCTTGGATTTATTAACCCTTGGATGCCTGTGGATGTACTGGAATCCACTGTAAGGGAGGAAAACTTGTCCCTTTTGCCCTTCTAGGTTCTTCGACTGGCCTAATAGCTAAATTGACATAAAACAGATTAACAGGAGGAACACAAATTTAATTTTGTGCATACGGGAGCTCGTGGAAACATGAGAGTCAAAGAAGTGACCAAAACAGGCTGCTTTTATGCCTTTTAGACAAAGAAACAATTATTCCTGAAGATTTGACAAAAAAGGGGTTTGGGCTTGGCGTACGTAGCACAATAATGACGAAGTAACAATGTCCGTTTATACAGTCTTCCCAGCCTCCAACTCCCTGTCTCAGACTATGAGGATGCTGTCTCCCCTCTTGGTATGGGGAGGACACCTTCACCGGAGAGATTTATTTCCAGCTCTTAAGGGACAAAGGAGGTCAGAGTGCCCTTTTTTATCTGCTGTTTCTTAAGGAACTTTAATTCAAAATAATCAATATGCCAAGGTGGAGTGTTTGGGGGTGGCCTATTCTCTCCTTCACCATAAATCCTTGAAAGTTTATGTAAGGTGATTTCTCAGACCTCTGTTTTTCACTGGACATCTGTCATCAGATTCATGACCAAAAGAAAAGTTAGTAACCACTCAACAGCTGCTCTAGAACTGCTAGGCATAGCAATTAACGGTTTTGACTACTTAACATGCGCTAAGTCCTATAGTTAAGGATAGTATACATATTTTCCCTTTTAACTGGAAAAATAACTCTGTGAAGCAGGCTCTTCCACTGTCCCTAAGTTTTGGGTGAGGGGCAGAGGCTCGAGGAGCTACCTGGACCGGTTTGTGGAGGCCAGACTCCAGCATCAGCGTTCCAAACCCGAAGTCCCACGGCTGCCCCACCCACAGCTGTCACGGCTGAATCTTATCTGATAACTGTCTACATGGCTTTGGGCAAATTATGTTTAGCTCCTCTGATTCTTGGATTCTTACCTCTAAAATGGAGTTAGTAGAGGCACGGAGGTGGCTCAGTCAGTTGAGCGTTGGATTCTTGGTTTCAGCTCAGGTCATGATCTTGGGGTCCTGAGATCCAGTCCCATGTTGGGGAGTCTGCTTGAAGATTCTCTCTCTCCCCTTCTCCCTCTGCCCCTCCCCTGCTCACGCACTCTCTCTCTCTCTAATAAATTAATAAATCTTTTAAAAATTAATTAATTAATTAAATGGAGTTAGTAATAATAGTCATTCCATCAGGTTACCGTGAAGACTACATATAAAGAGTTCAGCAGAGTGCATGTTACATATAAAACATAACAGGGACACCTCACTGGCTCAGTCAGGTAAGCGTCTGCCTTCGGCTCAGGCCATGATCCCGGGGTCCTGGGATCGAGCCCGCATCCGGCTCCCTGCTCGGTGGCAAGTTTGCTTCTCCCACTTCTCCCCACTTGTGCTCTCTCTCCCTATCTCTGTCACTCTCTCTCAAATAAATAAATAAAATCCTCAAAATAAATAAAATAAATAAAACAGGTAATAGCTGGTAACTACAATTATATAGTCCCACTATTTAATTTCCTACTACAGAAGGAAAAAAGGAAGCATCTTGGCATATTAATTATTTTGAATTACAGTTACTTACTTAAGAAACAGCAGATACAAGTAGGACACTCTGACCTCCTTTGTCCCTTCAAAGCAGGAAATAAATCTCTCCTGAGAAGGTGTCCTCCCCATACCAAGAGGGGAGACAGCATCCTCATAGTCTGAGACAGGGAGTTGGAGGCTGGGAAGACTGTATAAAAGAACATCGTTACTTCTTCATTAGTTTGCTCCCCTTACAGATAAGAAAATAAAAGCCAAAGAGAGATGTGACTTTCTCAAGGTGATAAGGCCAGATGATCACCATTTAGGAATTAGACCTCAAGTCTCCTACTGCGCATAAGGGGTGATTTCTGCTGTACCACATCTCATGCAGCATTGGAGAAGACCCCTGCCCCAACCTGATAGGGGCTGTACAGAAGCAAGCAAATCCAAGGACAGTAGGAAAAGGTGATTCTCAGTCCAAACTTCAATACAGATTATTTGTGAACATTTTAAAATGATATTAAGCAGCTGCACTCCTGACTTTTTAATTTGTTCACTGGACATTGATCTGAGTGAAATAATAAAAGGGAAGAGAAGTTGGGGTTCTGTCTCTTCAGAAAAATCCTGAGGACGTCATGACCTAAATCATTCTCTCCACAAAACAGCATGAAAGGATCAAGTAGTCATGGTTTTTGAAGTTCGACAAATCCTAGCTCCAAACTGAGCAAGGTGTGTGACCTTGTGTTTTAGCTTTGCTGATTCTCATGACATGCAAGTATAAAATGAGGTGAAATGCAGTACATTCACTACACTGGAATTAAAATTTTTTAAATGTATTTATTCAGAAAAATGGATGAGGTGAAATGCTCACAAGAGGGTTGGCAGGAGAGTCAGATGAGATCATAGGACACTTTGAAAACAGTTAAAAACAGGTTCTGAAATTCAACAGGCATGAGTTCAAATCCCAGTTCTACCATTTATGAGCTTTGTAACAGAGCAAGGTACCGCACCTCTGCCAACCTCTTCCTCCTCCTCACTAAGATAGTAATAATATTAGTATCTACATCCCAGAGCTGTTGTGAAGATTAGGAGCTGCTATGCCTGTAGAGAATGTGGTAAATTGCCTGGCAAAAATCTAAGTGTTCAATAAACGCTAACGCCGGGATGCCTGGGTGGCTCAGTCAGTTAAGCGTCTGCCTTCAGCTCAGGTCATGATCCCAGGGTCCTGGGATCGAGTCCCACATCAGGCTCCCTACTCCACGGGGAGCCTGCTTCTCTCTCCCTCTGCCTCTGCCTCTCTCTCTCTCTCTGTCTCTCATGAATAAATAAATAAAATCTTTAAAAATAAATAAATAAATGCTAACGCCTAGATGTACTAAATTATTGTCCTTCACAATTTTTTACTGAGCAGACTGCTGCTACTTCTGAATTGACCTGTGCATTCATTCATCAACATACATTGAGTAACTACCATATGCCAGGTTTTGCGCAAGACTTTATGCACCACCTTTAAAAGATCAGAAGTAATGCCTGAAAAAGAAAAAGAAAACAACACAGGATTAAGGGGGACATAAAAAGCATCATAAATATTTGAGGAACTATCACATAAAAAAGAGTTTATCTCCAGAGAAGAAAATGAGGGCCAAGTCATGAAAAAATTAGGAGATGAAATATTTTTGTTTCGCCTAAGAAAGACTTTCCTGCTGATTGTATCCATTTAATACTGAGACAGTTATTCTTGAAAGGCAGTGAGCTCCCTATTATCAGAAATAACATGGTTTCCTTGTCCTCCATTCTCTACTAATGGACAGGTTGGGTTTCCAAATATGCCACGCCATGTCACGTGTTTCTCTGTGCCTTGCATGTGCTGTCCCTTTCCCTAGAAAGATCTTCCCCCACCATGTATACATCTCCTAACCAATGCTTAAAGTTTTCAGCGGCTTTCCCCAAGGTTATCCTATCTGGTGTGATGCTAAGAAGTTGTGCAATCTCTACAAGAGCATTTCCATTGTTTTAACTTTCATAATCTATGCCATCCTCATTTGTCTGTTTTGGGGGCCAGGATTATGTCTCTCACTATTTTGTGTCCTTTTAGGGGCTGACACTCTGCCTGCACATAAGATTCTCAGTCAATAAATGCTGAGAGATAATCAGTAAATCACTGTATCTGGAGAAGATTTATTTATTGGGGTGCCCGTGTGGCTCAGTCATTAAGCATCTGCCTTCGGTTCAGGTCATGATCCCAGGGTCCTGGGATCGAGCCCCGCATCGAGCTCCCTGCTCCGTGGGAAGCCTGCTTCTCCTTCTCCCACTCCTCCTGCTTGTGCCCCCTCTCTCGCTGTGTCTCTCTCTGTCAAATAAATAAATAAAATCTTTAAAAAAAAAAGATTTATTTATTTATTTGAGGTGGAGGAGGGGCAGAGGGAGAGAGAATCTCAAGCAGACTCCAAGCTGAGCATGGAACCCGATACAAGACTCTATCCCACAATCCCAAGATCACAACCTGAGTTGAAACCAAGAGTCGTACACTTATCCAACTGCATCACCCAGGCACACCAGAAGTGCTTTAAATCATTTTAGATCACTTCTATGTATGGTCCATGTCAGTCAGGATAGACCAGCCCTGTGCTGAGAAACTTACAATCCAATCTCAGGTGTTAACCTCTATTAATTTATCACCCATCCAGAGTTATCCATAGGTCATAGGCTGGGTAATTCTCCAGGGTACCTGTGCTCCACACTGTGACCCAGGGAACAAGGATGCTTCATGTTGTGACTTCATCCCAAATCGAGGCCTCCATGAGCACCATGGCAGCAAAAGAAATATTGGAAAATTTCAAAGGTGTTTTTCCTGCACCATTCAAAAAGTAACCCACGTCACTTCCACTCACACTCCTGACCAGAACTGGTTCCATGACCTGAACTAACCTCAAAGGAACTGGGAAATATGGTTTTCCATAGGCCTAGAGGGAGGACCAAAAAGCAGGATTTGTTGAATTCATAAGTATCATCTCTGTCACATGGTCATTGGGAAGAAATATAAAATACTTTTTAGAGCGCTATTAATGTTAACCACTCTTTAAAAATAACGTCTTTAAGTCATTTCAAATGTATACTGAATTAATGCAAATTGCAGAATATCCATGTACCTAACTAAATCGTAGGTAGGAATTAAAAGTTATATTAGATGGGGCACCTGGATGGCTCAGTTGGTTGAGCGTCCGACTCTTGGTCTCAGCTCAGGTCTTGATCTCGGGATCATGAGTTCAAGTTCTGCGTTTAAAAAAAAAAGTTAGAGAAAAAGTTTATAAAAATATTAATACAAAAGTGTTGTAAAATAATATATACAGTATGTCTTCAATTTTGTTAAAGAGTAATATATGTGCACATATACATAAAAAGACTAAAGGGATAAACACCAAAGAGTTAAGTCTGGTTATCTCCAGAAGGTGGTATTACACGTTTCCATTTTCTTCCTTGTGCTTTTTTGTATTTCCTATTTTTCTTACAAGAAAGAATTATTACTTTTTTTATCAGGGAAAAAAAAAGGAGTTTTTCCTTCCAATTTACCAAAGTAATGTACCTGCTGAGCCAAGAAACTATTAAATCACTCAAGAACGGAATTATCTTTTAGTGCTTTTTGTCTGGATACTCCTGGGGATTCATGAAATCCACCCAAAAGGAGCAGGGCTTTTGCCTTCTCCTAAAATGAAATGTCTAAAAATAATACCCTGCAGAGTTCAGACTTCACAGGTGAGAAAAGCCAACCCTAAATTTAAGAAGAAAAATCACCAGGTTGTGAAAGTGTGCAAGCGCGGGCTGTGCCAGGTTCTGGGCGAGAGCGGCCAGGACCCAGCAGAGGCCCTGCAATGGCTGGAGAGATCATCACACCCATCTAGCAGGGCATGTGGAGAGCCTTGCAAAAGGTCAGGAGGTCAGGTGCACTTGAGACAAGGGACAAGAATGCAGGAGAGGTAGAAGAGAAGTAGGAAAAGAGAAGAAGGAAGGGGCCTAGGGAAGAATGGGAAGAGGGAATGAGTGATAGAATGTGAGAAAGGAGTCAAAGGAGAGTGGAGAGAGGAGAGAAGGAGATGAAGACGAGGAGGTAGAGCTTAATAGTTGGGTTTTTGTGGGGCTTTTTGTTTTTGTTTTTGTATTATTGGAGCGAGAGAGAGAGTGAGCATGCGCGCGCACCAGAGGGTAGAGAGAGAGAGAGAATCCCAAGCAGGCTCCACTCCCAGTGGGGAGAGCCCAACACAGAGCTCAGTCTCACAATCCTGAGATCATGACCCGAGCTGAAATCAAGAGTCCAATGCTTAACCGACTGAGCCACCCAGACGCCCCTGGTTTGGGGTTTTGAAGTCAGCTGTACCCCACTCCAGATCTGGTCCTGCTGTTTACTACCTGTGGCCCTTCCAACACTCAGCCTCTCTACTTCTCATTTTTAATTTATTTATTTACTTGGTTTTAATCCACATAATGCACGAACATAAAAATCTGAGGGTTTCACACAGCTAACAACTGTCCAGCTGCTCTATCTCTAATCCCACTCCTGAAGGAAACCACTTTCAACTTTCTGGGCATTTACTTCTGTATTTCCAAAGTATAGGCCACATTGAAAATTCTCCTTTTTAAAAAAAATTTTTTAAAGATTTTATTTTTAAGTCGCTGCCACACCCAAAGTGGGGCTCAAACCCACAACCCTGAGATCAAGAGCTGCATGCTCCACTGACTGAGACAGCCAGGTGCCCCTGAAAGTTCTTAGTCCCTCCTGTTTGACACATGATCTAGTGACTTCCTACTAGGGAAGATGACAATTTCCCTCCTCCCGTATGGCCAGTCTCTGCTTCCCTGCCCCACCCCCCTGCCACCCCCAAATACAGAGACACTCACTCCCTCTGTACCATCCATGTCTCCACTTTTGGTTAAATTGGCACTCTGTTTGATATCATAATGCAATTATAAATAACAAGGCACCTGGCGGGCTCAGTCAGTAGAACATGTGACTCTTGCTCTTGGAGTCGTGAGATGAGCCCCACATTGGGCATAGAGCTCACTTTAAAAAGTATATATATATAGTTTATTCTTTTTCTTAAGATTTTATTTTTTTTTTTTTAAAGATTTTATTTATTTATTTGACAGAGAGAGACACAGCGAGAGAGGGAACACAAGCAGGGGGAGTGGGAGAGGGAGAAGCAGGCTTCCCGCAGAGCAGGGAGCCCGATGCGGGACTCGATCCCAGGACCCTGGGACCATGACCTGAGCCGAAGGCAGTCGCTTAACCAACTGAGCCACCCAGGCGCCCCTTAAGATTTTATTTTTAAGTAAGCTCTACACCCAATGTGGAGGTCAAACTCACAACCCCAAGATCAAGAGTTGCACATGCTTCAACTGAGCCAGCCAGACACTGCAAAAAGTAGATAGATAGATGATAGATTAGATAGATGATAGATAGATGATAGATAGATGATAGATAGATAGATATAGATAGATAGATAGATGATAGATGATAGATAGATATAGATATAGATAGATAGATAGAATTCACTATATACCATACTGTGACACTTTCATGGTTGTTTGACTGTTTTTTCTCATTTTTTATATGCTTGGTTTTGTGTGCTAATGTCTAATTATTCAGGTATAAGCACTGACAAAAGTATATTCATCTTTCAATGGGTCTAACACATCAGGTGATCTAGAAGCTTCTTTCTGCCTTGGAGCATCTCTGTGAAAGCCCTCTCTTCTCCCTAGTCCAACCTAGAGAATCACTTTCCAGGCCTGTGGTTGGTCTATCACCCTGGGACAGCCCCTCATCATCAACCTGGGGATTCTTTTTGCTTCTGTTCATTGTTGAATCCTCTTTGTTCAACTGCACTTTTTAAAGCTTGTGTTACGGGGCGCCTGGGTGTCTCAGCCGTTTAGCGTCTGCCTTCAGCTCAGGTCATGGTCCCAGGGTCCTGGGATCGAGACCCACATTGGGCTTCCTGCTCAGCGGGGAAGCCTGCTTCTCCCTCTCCCACTCCCCCTGCTTGTGTTCCCTCTCTAGCTCTCTCTCTCTGTCAAAAAAAAAAAAAAATCTTAAAGCTTGCATTACACCTTCATTTGGGAGAAGCACATCTTCAAATTGTGTCTTGAAAAAGAGGCACACAAGGCAACTTTTTCAGACCTGGAATGACCAAAAGTGTCTTTTTTCTATTCTTCTTAATTGGTAGTATTGCTGGGTAAAAAAAAAAAAAATTAAAAAAACTCTAAACAGAAAATGGTTCTTTCTTAGAACTTTTTTTTTAAGATTTACTTATTTATTTTAGAGAGAGAGAACACGCAGAGATGAAGGGGAAGAGGGAGGGGGAGAGGGAGGGGGAGAGAGAGAGAATCTCAGACTCCCTGTTGAGAACAGAGCCCGATGAGGGCTCAATCCCATAACCACGAGATCATGACCTGAGCCAAAATCAAGAGTGGGATGCTTAACCAACTAAGTTACCAAGACACCTCTATAACTTTTGAAAATATTACAGCATAGGGAGTTTAGTCAATGGTATTGTAATCACATTGTATGGTGAAAATAAAAAATACATTATCCATTTAGCTACTGACTACTGGTTCTGAGATTGAAAACTCTGACACCCTTCTGATTCCTCACTCTTTCTTTATGCAAACTGTTTTGGAGGCTTTTGTCTATTTGTTTTCTATATAATTATTAGAAGCTTTTAGTTTCTTTTAATAATCCAGATCCCTTTCAATCTGAGAATGTTTACTCATCCTTTCTGGGAAACTTAAAAACTTTTCTTGGGTAAATTCCTCATCTCTATTTCTCTCATTTCCTATCCTAAACTTTCTGTCATTCATATTTGGGACTTGCTGGCCTAAATGCACTTATTATTTTTATCTTTCCTAATTTCTTCTCATTTTCTTTTTACTCTAGTTTCTGGAAAATTCCTTCAACTTTATTTTGCAATTTTTTAAAAGATTTTATTTACTTATTTTTTTGACAGAGAAAGAGAGAGAGCACAAGCAGGGGGAGTGGCAGGCAGAAGGAGAAGGAAAAGCAGGCTCTGTGCCAAACAGGGAGCCTGATTTGGGGCTTGATCCCAGGGTCCCGGGATCACAACCTGAGCCAAAGGCAAACGTTTAACTGACTAAGCCACCAGGCACCACAACTTTATTTTGCAATCTTATTCTTGGAGCTTTTATTTCAGAAATCCTATTTTAACTTCTAGGGTAACTTCCCATTTTTGTTCCTTTTCAAAGCATGCTGTTCTTATTTCATGGATGTGTTGATTTACCTATTTTTCTGAGAATATTATTCATAACTTCTGCTTCTTTTAAATTTCCTCTGCTCCCTGAATTGACCATTTCCTCCAAGTTTCACTTTTCTGCTTATGTCTCTTTTAGTCTGAGCTTTTCTCCAAACCTGGTGATCCTTGGCTGTTCATTCACATGAAGAATGAGGCACTAATGGTAACTGGGCAGAGTCTATTGGGTGGTGGCTTTCAACAGGGTGATGGAGCAAAGCCTGGGTTTTTCACTTGGAACCGTCAACTATCACTGTCTCCAGGTTATTGTGGCAGAGACATGGTTTTTCCCAGAAATAAATTCCCCAATCTCCTGCCTAAGAGAAATAAGCCTGGCTGTTAGCATTCTCACAGCTAAGTGGGGGATTGACTGAGGTCTCACTGTTTAGGATGAAAACTTTCATGTAATTCCCCTTATCTCAGATCAGCATCCCTGAATTCAGCAGGCCTGATATTCCAGAGTTAAATCCTTCTGGTTAAATACCTCCAGAGAGTTTATCGCCAACCATCTTTTGCTGGGAAGGGGAGAAATGTAACAATCCACACGATTCTTTAAAAAAACAGAAAAGAAAAGAAAAGAAAATCAATCTTCCTGTTTTCCTCCCAGTCTATGTGTGGCTTACACTTCCCAAGCCATTCAACAGCACAAATTAACTTGTGTCTTGGCTTCCTCCTCTGTAGACACTTAGCATTCAGCTTTCTCTGATCTGGTGCCCCAGATAGACTCATCATCTGCTCCCATCTTCTGAATTTTTGTTGGCATCCCTATATCATCTCTGTTTATGTTCTCCTGGACCTTGTGGGTCAGATCATTTTTTACTGTCATTTAATGGCCAGAATGAAAACAGGGTTTCATCCACCATGTTTAAACAGTTATGCCCTTGATTTATTTGTAAAAGGAACATAATAGTGCTGATATCATTCACTTTTAAAATAAAACTAATGAATATTGGGGGCACCGGGCTGATTCAGTCAGAAGAATGTGTGACTCTTAATCTCTGGGTCATGAGTTGGGTATAGAGATGACTTAAATAAATTTTAAAAACTTAAAAAAAAAAAAAAGAAAAAGAAACTACTGAAGATTAAGATGAATGAGATAATCCAGTGTTTGTCAAACTTCAGTCATTCATGCACCACCTCATGAGTTTTCTTTGTTTTGTGTTTCTTTTCTAATACTTTCTTTAGAGCTTTCTATAGCTCAACTTGTGATTTTTAGCTAAATAGTATCATTTTAAAAGGAAACTTTATATCACAATCCCCAAGAGAAAGTTAATACATAACTATGAAACTAACAACAAAATTTGTCTATCTATAGCTTAAAAACATCTCCCCTCCCATCACAGATGTCACACTTTGGGAAACAATGTGCTTGTGAAAAATATTGAAAACAGTGCCTAGTGCACTAAACAATAAATGGGAGGTGTGAGCAGAATCTGAGGTTCTTCCCTGGCCAGTACACAATTCTGAACCTGTTTCCCTGGAGACAATACACAACCTGCACCTTACCATATTTACCTTTTTTCTCATCTAAAAGTGTGCAATGGGTTGAATGGTGGCCTCCCAAAAATACTTCCATGCCCAATATCTATGAATGTCACATTATTTAGCAAAAGGGTCTTTGCGGATATAATTAAGTTAAGGATCTCAAGATGAGATCATGCTGGATTATGCCGGCAGGCCCTAAATCCAACAGCGAGAGTCCTTATAAGAGACAGAAGAGGAAACACAGAGAAGAGGAGAAGGCCATGTGAAGACAGAAGCAGAGATAAGGGCTGTTTTCAACAGCCAAGCAGTACCTGGAGCCTTCAGAGAAACCAGAAGAAGCAAGGAGGGATTTTTCCCTAGACCCTTTGGAGGGAGGGTAGCCTGCTGACACCTTGGACTTCTGGCCTCCCCAAATATGATGGAATACATTTTGGTTGTTTTAAGCCACCTTAGTCTGTGGTTATTTGTCCCAGCATCCCCAGGTAACAAATACAGGGTGACACCCCAGATGTGGCAGAAAACAGGTTGGGTGGTAACATCTTGCACCTGAGTTGGATAAACAGACTCTGGCCACCCCTTGCTACAAACTCCTAAAATGTGTTTCAAACACAAGCGTGTTTCTTGCCTCTGAATCTGGCACTTGGGATTCAGCAGGGAGCATCTGTCCCATGGCCCCTTGAACAGTCTGTTGAGTCAAAGCACCAGACTGTGGTTTCCATCAGCATGAAGCCTGGAAGCCAGGCAGAGGAAAATGTCTGCTACCTCTGTGCCTGGGAATCAGGGATCCTTAGCAGCGGGAGACGCAGAGATTAATATAATGTCGGTGTCTCTAAAGTTCTTGGAGGGGGTACAATACAAGTGCACAGATCTGGTTCTGCAATGAGCAGTCAAATGGACAGTTATATTAGGAGGAATGTGCTTTTTCTCCAGAACAATAGAAAAATAAATCCCTTAGCAAAAGCCCCAGGAAAGCTTATTACTTTCATAAAATATTTTTTTCCTTCCTTTCCAGTGCTTGGTAAAGATTAAAAACAGAAGACAAATTGCACTTCACTGCTTGTTTTTATGTGTGTGAACCAAAAAATTCTGTAAAGATTCAATTAAAAAAATCAATAAAGTTTCTGAAACAGCTATGAAATCTGAAGATCCCCAGTATAGAAACATAATGGGGGGGAGGGGGGAGGGAGATACACAGAAGGTTTGCAGAATAACTAATTAAAGAAATCGGCTAAAATGGAATCATATTTCCCTGAAATGGTTCTGAATCATCAAGTCTGGGGTCTGGAGAAGGGACACAAGAGATCATTTTGTCATCTTCCAACTCAAACACTAAACCAGAAAAATCCTTGTCTGTTCTTTTCCATAAGCCTCCAGAAAAGAAAAGAAAAAAAAACAAAAAAAACACAAAAATTCACTCTCCCTTGACAGTGCAGCCAGTCAGTGAGTCACTGAGTTAATAACCACCGAATATTTATTTCACACCCAGTTCAATATTAATTGGAAAGAATCTATCTTTGGTCAGGTTCAACAAACTTAGGTTGAAATGCCATTTGTTGGAAATTCCTATTACCAGTCAATGGACTGCATATTTTACCAAATATTAACTCATTCACTCTTCACAACTATTCTGTGAAGTAGTCATCACTGTTTTCCTTCTCTTATGAATAAGAGATCAGATCTCTTAGAGAGCTAAGAGATCTCAAACCTAGTACGTGAAAGCCAGCTTTTATGATTCAATCTTTTATTTTTATGATTCAATCTTTCATGCTTCTTCTACCTCATGACGTGCCTGCCTTATGTTCCAGATTATTCTCAGAAGGTGCCTTCTTTTTTAAGTAGGCTCGATGCCCAACGTGGGGCTCAAACTGACAACCCCAAGATCAAGAGTCCCATGCTCTACCAACTGAGCCGGCCAGGGGCCCCTGAAGATGCATTCTGGGGATAACAGAGTATGCATACAGCAAGAGTACAAGAACTGCCTTCATAGGACTTTGTAGATAACACAGACTCCACCATCCACCAGCTCAGCCATGAAAAACCATTTGACCTCTCCTAATCTGTTTCTGAGAGGCCCCTCCCCTCCATGTTGCTGTATTTCCTTTAAAGCAGTTACTTCCTTCGACCTGACCTGGTTATTAACTGCTTGAATGTCTGGGTCTCTGACTAAATTTTAAGCTCCTTGAGGACAGGCACCTCAGTTTCTTTTTCTCCCGCTCCACAGTGCCCAGATCAACATCATGTCCAGCGTAGACTCGCATAAAGGTGTGATGAATTAACTAAAGAAAGTGGCTCTCATAATCTGCTCTTCAGCCTATAAATTACACACCCATTTTGGAAAATAGTTTAGTAGTATCTGTTGACATTGAACGTACACGTAGCCAGAAGTCTAGCAATTCCATTTCCAGGTGTATATGCCACAGAAAGGCCTACATATATCTAGGAAAAAATACCCTTTGGCAGCACTGTTCATAATAGCCAAAGGCTCAACATGAATCAAATGCCCATCTATAGTTGAGTGGAGAGACTGCCACGTTTCTATAATGAAATATTATGCAGCAGTGAGAATAAGTGAACGTAATTACATGTAACAATACGGATGAGTCTCACAGACTCATGTGGAATGAGTGAAACCAGGGGTGCCTGGGTGGCTCAGTTGGTTAAGCGTCTGCCTTCGGTTCAGGTCATGATTCCACAGTCCTGGGATCGAGCCCCGCATTGGGCTTCCTACTCAGCGGGGGGGGCTGCTTCTCCCTCTCCCACTCCCCCTGCTTCTGTTCCTTCGCTCACTGTGTCCCTGTCAAATAAATAAATAAATAAACCTTAAAAAAAAAAAAGGAATGAGTGAAACCAAACACAAAAGAGCACATACTGTACAATTCCATTTACATAAAGATAATGTTAATCAATGGTATTAGAAGCCAGGATTGTACTGGTTCTTTGTAAGGAGTAATAACTAAAGGGGCTCCAGAGAGTTTTGGGGACCTTTTCAGATTCTGTTTCTTCATCTTGGTGCTGATTAGATGGGCCCTACTCAACTGATAAAAATTCACCAAATTTTTCACTTTTCTGTATGCATGTTTTCTATCAACAAAAAAAGTTTAAGGGGGGCGCCTGGGTGGATCAGTCGTTAAGCGTCTGCCTTTGGCTCAGGTCATGATCTCAGGGTCCTGGGATCGAGCCCCACATCGGGCTCCCTGCTCAGCGGGAAGCCTGCTTCTCCCTCTCTCACTCCTCCTGCTTGTGTGCCCTCTCTCGCTGTTTCTATCAAATAAATAAAATCTTAAAAAAAAAAAAAAAGTTTAAGAAATGAAAAATAGAATAATGAGTGCACGAAGTTGTCAAAAAACAACGGAACACAGTACAGACAGGATTTCATAAAGGTGAGGAGCTTGAAGAGACCCAGAATGGTATACATGAGACCTCCATAATCCAGCTGTTCCCTACTTTTCTCACTTCATTTCTGCAATCTCTCCCATATGCCATGTCCAGCCGCATGTAATTATTCAGGGTGACCTGCAGAGGCGATTTTATTGTATTCACTGCCAATTCACTGAAGAATCTTCAGTCACCTTGCATTTCCTGACCCCTTAGAATATGATGTTAAATTCATCTAGGATATGTCTGCTAAAGAATTAGGTCCAAATATCAGTTTTAATCCATTTAGTTCCTTTCAAACCACGTGGATTTACTTTTCCTCTTATGAGGAACAAAAGAACCCTAACCACTTAAATCACTTAAGCAAAAGGAATTGTGTGTGTGTGTGTGTGTGTAGTTGTTGTTGTTTGAGAGAAAAAGAGAGAGAGCACAGGGTGAGGGGCAGAGGGAAAAGGAGAGAGAGAATCTTAAGCAGGCTGTATGCCCAGCTCAGAGCCCAATGCAGGACTCGATCTCACAACCCTGAGATCATGACCTAAGCCGAAATCAAGAGTCAGACACTTAACTGACTGAGCCACCCAGGTGCCCCAGAATTGCATTGTTTTAAACCAAAGACTGTTGTTGCAGCAAAAATATTAAACACACGGCAAAGAGTTGTCCCCTCTTGTCATGGATTGCTGGGGTCTTGCCCAAGTGACCCAGTTCCATCTGTTACAGTACAGGACTCAACATGTCTGCCATCTATTTCCCCAAAATGCAGTGTGGAAGGAAATGCAGAGGCCGGGGCTCCAGAGGCAGGATGATATATGTACTTACATCCCCTGACACCAACATCTCCACCCATATGACATCTTTCATGTCATTTTGGCAAACTTAGATGGCCACCATACTAAGTGACCCCTGGCCAGTGATTCCTTGATTAGGTGAAACATGTGATATCATATTCTTTTGTTTGCTAGCAGGGAAGGAATAGGTCATCAATTAGACAGCTGAGAAGGATTTGCATTGGCAGCTACCATCTGCAAAGTTAAGTACACTTGTAAGATTACAGTGGAAATCAAATGATCAAAGATGTCTAGGGCAATACTTCACGGGAGGGTGGTTCCTTTGTCTTGTCTTTTACTGAGCATCCCCACCTTATTTTCTTGGACTGGAAACTGTGGCCATTATTCTAGTTGCAAAGACCAAGTTATTATGACCTGGAGGAGAACGGCAATGTTCTCCAGGGAGGTTTCGGCAGCTCTTGCATGTTCATGGGAGTACACTCCCAAGTCCTTTTCCCTTGCTCTCTGATCAAATTCCTAACTATTACTCAAGCTTTTCCTTAGTAAAAGAGGTTTCCTAGACCACCTCAGAAAGGTATAGGGGCTCTAGATTTGTGCTACCATAGTACTTTGAACATAATTGGATTAAAGCCAGTTAACCCTGATTTTTAACTACCTACCCATGTCTTTCTGCCCCTACAAGAGTCTCCGTGTCTCACAGATAAAGGATGACTATCACAATATACCTGTTACCTGCCTTATGCACTAAGCATTCCAAAAATGTGTTGAATTATCCTCCTTGTTGAAGAGAAATTCTCAAGAGAAATCAAAAGCCTTAGTTAAGTCAAAATATACTGTTTCAATTTTTCTATCACTCTGTCACAGAAAAAAAAAAAAAAAACAACAGACTAGTTTGATATATCGATTCTCAAAGCTCTGCTGTTTTTCACCCCAAACCCTGTGCTCTTATGGTGGCTTAGGAATTGATTTCTGGTGACATATTCGGTTGGTTTGTTTGTTTCATAGTATGACACATTGATATATCCATATCACACCACACTATCCTTTCATGGAAATGGACTTTAAATTGCCTCTTTCACTCACTTTGACCACCTCCCCATATCTTCATGAATCATTTATAATCATTACTAGTGGTTTTAATGTCCCCACTGGACCTTGGGTAAATGCAACTTTGCTGATTAAAATGCACCCCACTTGCTTAAAACGTAACATAGGTTTCCCTAAGCCACACCAGCATTGTGGTTAAAAACATGATTGTCCTGGGGTGCCTAGGTGGCCCAGTTGGTTAAGCATCTGACTCTTGTTTTCAACTCAGGTCATGATCTCATGGGTCGTGGAATCCAGCCCCATGAAGGCTCTGCACTCAGTGGGGAGTCTGCTTGAGGATTCTCCCCTCTGCTCCCCCACCAAATAAATAAATAAATCTTTAAAAAAAAAATACATGGTGTCCTAATGCTAATAAAATAGAATATTACTGTCTCACAAATTGTAAGACTCCATCTGATTCAAATGGCTCCCCACACCAGATTCCTGGGGGTCACTGAGGATGTCTCAGATGTTTGCAAACAAACCCTCTGGCCTGCCATGTGGATCCACCATGTTCTCCCTGTCTTGCTCCTCTGCTCTGATGTGTCCAGTTGTTGCGGCCACGGAACCATCATGAAGCTGCCTTATGTCCTCTGTGGTTCTCTTAATAGCCACTAAAGAATGACGTTGGCTACCGCTCCTCCACTTGAGATAAAAGCTAGTTTGGCTACCTCCCAAGTGGCTGGGTCTGTGCTACGCTTAGGAGTAACTCAAGATGGGAAAATTCCCAATCCTGGTGCAGCTCTCTGCACCGCGGCCATGAACAGCACTGCCTTAGGGACTCTGCATCTTATGGTGCTTTGCTTTCAAGTTTTATTCTCAGTTCCCTCTCCCTAAGATTAAGCAAGAGTGTGGTAGTTAGGTCATGAACAACCTGAGTGGCAGGCATGAGCACTATTCAGAATGACCTTGCACTCCTATATAAACCATTGTATTCCAGATGAAAATTCTTTGTCTAAGCCCTGCCTTTGCTCAGAATGATGTCTTCCCCAAGAGATTCCTAGTGCATAGTGACAACAGAATGCTCGTGGGCACATTCAAGTGAGCTTTAGACATGCCCAGTTATATCTGCATCACAGGTGACTATAGTTTGAGATCAGGATGAGGCTCTCTTTACGTTACATAAAAGAGAACTAGCAGCTACATCTCTATGTTATGTCTTCCTATTCTCCCATGCTGTAGGCTTCCTTATCCATAGGTTCTAGATAATGTTGTTTTTTTTTTAAAGATTTTTTTTTTTTTTTTGAGAGAGAGAGAGCGAGTGTGAGAGATAGCGCAAGAGGGGGTAGGGTTAGAGGGAGAAGCAGACCCCCCACCGAGCAGGGAGCCCGATGTGGGACTCGATCCCAGGACTCTGGGATCATGACCTGAGCCGAAGGCAGTCGCTTAACCAACTGAGCCACCCAGGCGCCCGGTTCTAGATAATGTTTAACATTGTTCTGTTTCTGGGACTTCTGTGACCTGGTCAGCTCAATTAGATTCAGTAAGAATTGACAGCACTGTCAATATGCCAGGCATTTGCCAGCCCTAGGAATGAAGCGATAAATAGGACAGGAACCCCTGTTCTCCAGGGTTTTCTAGCCTACTAGAAGACAATAGTTATCATGCAGACTGATAATTTTTATGAAAGTGGTTAAGTACAGATGCCAACAGAGCTCAAAGGGGAAGAGCTTTTGTCGGCTTGGGGTTCAGAGGAGGCTCTCGAAGGGGATAATGCCCAATTTGAGTGCTAAAGGACAAATAGGGGACCACCTGAATAAGGATGGAAACTCCTGAGGGTGGGAAGAACATCATGAACCAAGATGCTCAGGCATGCAGCCTACAGAGTTCTTGGGGAAACTCCAAGTAGTTGGGTATTACTGAATCACAGGTGAAGGATTAGGGAAGGATAGTGGTAGGAGGTTGTATCTATTTGTGGCTGCTAAGGCTTATGACCATATCTTTATATTTAGTGCAACCCCCAGCTCCAAATCATGAGGATTTGCATCTTCTCTATGGGGTTTGCCAAAAGAAAATTTAACAATCCTAACCACATAGATAAAAGAAGAGGCACTCTTTCAATTAGCAGAATACTCGTAACAAGGGAACACTAAGCATTTAGCAAAGACAGTTTCTGCTGTAGATTCTTCTGTCACTGGTGACCCACCTTCCAAGGCTTTCTATTTACATGTCTGAAGGTCTTCAATGGTTGAGCACCTGTGCCTCAGAATATCGCCAAGAAAGGGAGTTCAGAGGCTGGTACTCTCTTGGTGAGGTGACATATTAATCTCCCATCTTTGACCCAGGTGACTTGAATAGCTGTTATGTTTGGTCAAAATTTTCATACGTTTAAAATTGGAAGGCTATCATTCAGACTGAATGGGCCATTCACTAATTTGTTAGTCCACATATGTAGTATAATACAAACAAGAGGGATGGCAATGTATTAGGATTCGCTAAACACTGCAACAAAAAATAAGTCAGTGGATTAACACAATGACTACTGTTATTTGCTCACCTTCTAGTCCAATATGGTAGACAGGAAGCCCCACTCCACACAGTCATTTATGTATGCAGGCTTCATTCATCTTGTGGCATGACCATTTTCAACAATTGGTCTTTAGAATTTCCACAAAAGAGAAAGAGAACATAGAGGAGTGAGGGTATATAGCTAGGCATGGCATACATCCCTTTTGCCTACATTTGGACGTGCAGAACTCAGTCACGTAGTCTCAGTTTAATTGCAAGGGTAACTTGGAAATATGGTCTTCCTGTGTGCCCAAGAAAAAAAAATGAAACTGTTCAGCCTAAATACGTAGCATTGTTTCAACGCATTAAGGAAGAAGAGAGAATCAGGGTGGACCACTGTAAAGTTGATCACTGATACAAGGAAGCAAAGGGAAAACGTGGAGTTACTACCCTGTTATATCTTTGTATTGAACTCTAGGCCACTTGCATGTGATAAAGGTGGGATGGACATACCATCTTAAGCATAGAGAATGGCAGATGACAAATTTTATACTTCTATGCTGGGATATTTAATGTTTGTGAGCTCAGCATCTGAAAGAGGTCTTGCAAGCTGCTGGAGGAAACTAGAGAATGGAGCATGGAACTTTCTAAACTCTAAGAGTTTGTGAGTTTTACTAACCAGCACCGTAGCCTGAGAAATGGCCTTTAATATTTTCCTTTCTGAGTCTATACTTTTAAGACTGCTGGCAATTATTTTCTGCATAACAAGATGTCACATCCATAAGAACACTTGGCAACACCCGTCTCCAAGGGCTGTTCCTCATTGGCCATGGTTGTGATAGGATCAAATTAAATTGGGGAGAAAAATGTACCTTTTCATCATCCAGGATCAAATATCTACTTAATGATAGAGCCCATGTAACATTTACACATAGATCTAAAACATTAGCATCTTGGGGAAAATGGCAGAAAACTAAGAAGGTCATTTTGGTTCATTACGTCAGATTCTTGCAAAGCTTCACAGACATTTGAGTTAATGCCACATTTTTTAGGTTTACCATTTCACTGACTTACTATATTTTGTGGAGATAGTTTTTCTTTAATACCCATAAAAACATCACAAAACATCTTCTTATAAGCTTTAGATATTATACGAAATAAAAAGCAATAGAATAGATTGTGGAGAGGCATTATATCTCAAACAATACATTTATAATTATGGTTTGGGAGTGGTATTAAAACTCACCTTACAGAGCACCTGGGTGGCTCAGTCAGTGAGGTGTCTGTCTTCAGCTCAGGTCATGATCCCAGGGTCCTGGGATCGAGTCCCACATTGGGTTCCCTGCTCAGCGGGGAGTCTGCTTCTCCCTCTCCCTCTACCTGCCATCCCCCTGCTTGTGCTCTCTCTCTCTGACAAATAAATAAATAAAATCTTAAAAAAAAAAAACTTGCCTTACCATCATCATTTTGTGTAGGAATTTTGGATCCCAACATTCTTTCCTTTTCTGCCTTCCTTCTTTTACCTTTTGATAATTATAATCATGAATTTTGACAAACAGGATAATACACGTCATTTTCTTACAGCATTCGCATAGGGATCAAGTGAGACAACATACAGGTAACCATCTTTGAAGTGGTAAAATGTTGCATGTGTTCTATCACTTGGCCCTGTGCTGGCAAAGTGGACCTCTCTCCATTGTCCTGTGTGCATTGGTCCATGACAGCCTTGTCCCCTTGGACTATATCTATCATGGAGTCAGAGCTCTGGGATAGAAACGTGTTTGTGGTTGGTTGCGGAAAGGAGTGCTGTAATAATATAGTGAGCATGCATGATAGATGGGATAGGCACCAGGTAGGGCATCAAAAACAATCCATACCCCATCTGAACATAGAGAGGGAGGTAGTCAATGTCTTCCATCCTTAGACAGGAAGACATTGACTACCTCTCAGCCTACTTTTCTACTTTCCCATAGGCTGACAAGGAGACTTCCGCTTCTATCCCAGCTCCAGAAGTGTTGGAAAGAATACATCTGATCTGGTCAATCTCTCTCCTTGTACCCACAGGAGATTGTGAGATCAGAAAGAGCTACCTATTTTCTAACTTTTTCTTTCATCTTCTTTGTTGTTCATTCTCCTGAAAATGGGTTGTGAGACAAAATCAACAATTCTCCATACACCTGGATGAATAAGAATACAGATCCAATCCAGAGGCAGGTCCTCACATTTAGATCTGGAAGGAGGTAGGGGACAGAGAAAGAGAGAGATTTATTTGGAGGAATTGATTCACACGATTATAGAGGCTGAGAAGTCCCATGTTCTGCAGTCAGCAAGTGGAAATGCAGGATGCCAATTATACAGTGCCAGTCTGAGTCTGAAGGCATGAGGACCAGGAAAGTCAATGGTATAAATTCCAATCTGAGTCCAAATCCAAAAGCAGGGAAAAAAAACAATTTCTCGGCTCAAAGACAGTCAGGCAAAAAGAATTCTTCTTGTTCTATTCAGGCTTTTGGTTTACTCAGTCCACAGATTTAAATGCTATTCTCATCTAGAAATACCCTCAAACACAACTCAGAATAGTGCTTAACCAACTATGTGGACCCTCACTGGCCAGGTCAAGTTGGCACACAAAGTCACAATCTCTAATCCTTGGCCACGGAGTTCCTTGTCCTGTATGATTAAGGTTAATGGTGAGATCATTGTTCAGCTCCTCATCTCTTTGCTACTGGTTGGAACCCAGAGAGAAGAGGTGGTGAGGAATCGGCTGCAACAAGCAGAATGGGATCCCATGCTGGAGAACCTCAGTGATCACACATGAGCAGAGCCAGAAAAGGCAGACACTGGTAAAACCAACCACCACGCAGTCCTTTCAACCCCACAAACATGTATCACATACCTAGATAGGCAGGCAAATAAGATAAGATTATGTCTAGAACATTTGTTGGGAGGTGAATGGTGCTAAGTGATGTGGCTACAGGATAAGAGAACTTAACCCTTAGCACTTTCAGGGGGTATCTAGATGATCCTCCCAACATACTGGCTTCTCAGTTCCTTGAAATTCTCTCCTCCAGTGATCCCATCCCAACTCCATTACTCAATCCAGGGAGCTCAGCCGCAGCCTCATCATCACCCGTGATGGCAACTCTGGTTATTTCATGCCTCCCACCCTCTGACCACCACCTGCTAACTTCTACTCACTGGTTTAATCCCCCCGCCCCCCACTCCACAGTGTCCACTCCACTGACCCTCCCATTGACTTTTAGCCCTTAATATTCTGTCCTCCTAACCAGCTTCAACACTACAGTCAGTTAGCATAGGCCTGCAGTCCCCTCCATCCCCTTGATACTCCCTCACTTCACCTTCCTCGCTAGAAAAACTACAGCCTGGTTAAAATCAAGCCCTCACCTACTCACACTTGCCTTCGTGCAGCTGGGCATGCCTGGAAGAAAACATCCAACCACTGACTCATGTCTAATTTAAATCTATGACCAAGAACTCAAGAGAGCCCTTCACACCACTCAGCAATTATCTTATACTTCCCTGCTTTAATCACTCCTCCACACTCCTAGAGCACTATTGTGAAACTCCTCTCTCAGCAAATCTTTGTCATCACCTCTTCTAAGCTCATCTTCAATGGCTAAGCTTGCTTTCTGTGTTGAGTAAATCGAAGTAATCAGATAAGAATCCCCACCTCCTTGCACCTGTCTGTATCTCCCTCTAGGGGGTGACCATGGGTGGACTTCCCATGATCCTGTCCAAGGCAGAATCTTCCTCTTGTGTTCTGGAGCTCCTCCCCCTCACCTGCCCTAAAGCATTGCTCTACTTCTCTCTCCCGCCAGTTCTCCCTCCATCCTAGACCAGTGCCATCATCAGACACACCTGACAATGTCTCTCCCACCTTTATTTAATCAACCTTCTCTCTTCTCTAGACCCTTATCCCCAGCAGCTAGTGCTCTATGCCCTTGCTTTCTTTTATAGCAAATCTCTTTTAAAATGTACACTATGCCTCCATTTTCTCTCCTTCAATCCATTTCAGTCGAGATTTCAACTCCTCCTCCCCCCATCAAAAGTGTTCTTTCCACAGCCACACAGATACTCGCACTGGTAATCCAATGGTCAGTTTTCAGTCTTTTACCGGACCCATCAGCATCAGTTGACACAGTTGGTTACCTCTTCCTGCTTGACTTTGAAGCCTCTTTCTTCATTTGGGCATACCCTCTTGGGTTTCTGTCTCATGTGGTGATCATTTCCTCTCAGTCTTCTTTGCTCATTGTTCCCTACTTCTTCCTGGAGCGTCCTTGTGCTGTCACCTTGGTCTCCTTCTCTTCTTTGTCCACGCTCACTCCCACCTGATACGCATCTTGTCTTGTGGCTTTAAATGCCAACCATATAGGGGTGCCTGGGTGGCTCAGTCGGTTAAGCGTCTGCCTTCGGCTCAGGTCGTGATCCCCGGGTCCTGGGATCGAGCCCCGCATCGGGCTCCCTGCTTGGCTGGAAGCCTGCTTCTTCCTCTCCCACTCCCCCTGCTTGTGTTCCCTCTCTCGCTGTGTCTCTCTGTCAAATAAATAAATAAAATCTTTAAAAAAAAAATAAAATAAATAAAAATAAAATAAAATAAAATAAATGCCAACCATATATCAACAGCTCACAAGTTCATATCTCCAGCCCAAGCCTGTCTTCTGAACAATAGACTTGCATAGCCAACTTCACATCTTTGCTGATTTGTATAAAAGACTTCTCAACCCAACATGTCTAAAACTCAATTCCTAATCTTTCCTATCCCCCCAAAAAACTTACTTCCATACCTAGCTTTCTTTATCTCAATCAATGGCAAACCCCTCACTCTGGTTTCTCAGACCAAAAACCTTGACGTGCCCCTCCATGACTCCTTTCTTTTGCTCTCACGTGACATGCAATGTCAGGAAATCCTATTGGCTTTCCCTTCAAAATATATCCAATATCAGATCACTTCTTACCACTCCACTACAGCCATCTCCTCACACCTGGCTGGCTGTAATAGTCTCCTAACTCATCATCCTTCTGCTAGATTTGTTTCCCTGTGGTCAATTCTCAACACGGGAAGCAGAAGGATCCTTTTTAAACATTAAGTCAGACTGGGCGCCTGGGTGGCTCAGTTGGTTGGGCGACTGCCTTCAACTCAGGTCATGATCCTGGAGTCCCGGGATCGAGTCCCGCATCGGGCTCCCTGCTCAGCAGGGAGTCTGCTTCTTCCTCTGACCCTCTTCCCTCTCGTGCTCTCTCTCTCTCATTCTCTCTCTCTCAAATAAATAAATAAAATCTTTAAAAAAAAAAAAAACCATTAAGTCAGACTAAATCTCTACCCTGCTCAGAATCCTCCTATGGGTCCCAGTGTTAGAATTCCTAGGAATTTCTTACTATAGCCTTCTGCAAGACCCTTCATGATCTAGGCCTCTGTCACTCCCTTGATCTTGTTTGCTCACTCTATTCCAGCCACCACAGTATTCTTGCTCTTCTTTAGATATTGCAGACCGACTCCCACCTTAGGAACCTTAGGGCCTCTGTACTAGCTGTTCCTTTTACCTGGATTATTTCTCGCCAGATAAGCCCATGGCTCACTCCCTTACCCCCACATGTCTTTCCTCCAATGCTACCTTCTTGGTAAGTCCCACCATGACCACCCATCCGAAATGGCACTCACCCCTCTCAAATTCCCTATTCCCTCACCATGTTCTGCACTTTCTTTTTTCTGCAGCACTACCACCTATCATCCTGTAAAATTTACTTATTATGTTTATAACTTACTTAGTTTCCCTCACCCTGGAATATAAACCCTCAAAGAAAAATAACGGTAATAGCTTTTGTTCACTGATGTATTCTAAGCATTTAAATCTGAGCCTGGCACATATTAGGTACTTAGTCAATATTTGTTGAATGCAAGAATGAACTCACAGATGCATGAATAAAAATAAATAGAAATTTGTGGGTAATGGGAATAGCAATGAGGAGGGAAGGAGCCTGTGGAGAAAAGTGTCCAGGGAGAAATGCCTGGGAGTACAGAAGCCAAAAGACTTCTGAGAACAAGGGTGCATAAAATTAAATTTTCTGTCATTTGCATCACTGCACTGTAGCCCTCTTTTGGTGGTTAAAAAAATGTCCATGAGTTCTTTACCACTTCTCCCATTGAGAGGTGGGGGTCTGTGTTCCCTGTCCTTGAAAATGGGCAGGCTTGTGGGTGCTCCGACCATTAGGGTTTGGCAGCAGTGAGGCTACAGGACCTCTGAGGCTGAATCACACAGAACTGTGTACTTTCTGACTGGTTCCCTCAAATGCTTTTTCTGGAGACACTCCCTCTTAGAATCCAGCCACCTTGAGTGAGAAGCACTAGCCACATGGAGAGGCCATGGGTAAGTGCCCAGGGGACAGTCTCAGCTGGGCACAGCCTTTGAGTCACACACAGATGATTCAGGGCCTCCCCACCCCACTCTGTTGAAAGAATCACCCCCAGTTGAGGCCTCACGTATTAGGGAACAGAGAAGCCCTCTCCACAGTGCACTGTCTGCATTCCTGATTAAACAAAAAAAATGAGCATAATAAAATTACTGCTGTTTCATATCATTAAGTTCCAAGTGGTTCGTTATGTGGCAGTAGTAACTGGGACAGCCCCCATCCTCCAGAGTCACACACATGACCGGTGTGACAGGGATACGTGTCTGTGAAGAAGAATCAGCAAGGGTAGAGGGTAAAGAACCACCTCAGAAGGTGAAACTAATTTAGAGACAAGAGTCTGCCAGGAGCAAAACTTTAGGGTACATGACCAGACAGAGTATAGGTCTCTAGAAACTAGCAGAAAATGTGAGGGAAGCAGAGGATGGCTCACAGATGGTGAGGTAAGGGCTTGAGGCCCCTGACGGCAGGTGACCACGGCCTGCATGCCAGGAGGAAAGTAGAGGGGTTTGCACATTCGTGCTGATTCTACGTTATCAACTAGGATCCAAGTGTGGGGTGTCAGAGATCACCCCGGTAATTCACTGTGTCTATCAGGCGACCTTATGTCTCTCACTGGAAATCGGGGATTCTTTCCCCCACTCTTCTCTCTCCTTTGTCCCTACATCTAATCCTGGGGGCAAAAGAGCAGAAGCAGGGCACCTGGGTCTTCAGTCATAATCTCAGGGTCCTGGAATCGAGCTCCACCTCAGGATCTCTGCTCAGCGGGGGGGGGGGGGGGGTCTGCTTCTCCCTCTCCCACTCCCCCTGCTTGTGCTCTCAGTCTCCCTCTCTGTCAAATAAAGAAAAAAAAAAAAGAGCAGAAGGAGTCAAGTGAGCAGCTTTGAAGCTAGTTCTCTGGGTTTGATGATCCATCTATAGAGCAGGTCATCACCCAATTTCCAAACAACCAGCTATCCCTCATGGCCTTAGAATGCCACCAAAGCCTGCCCAACATTACCAGTCTTCTCTCCTACCACTTGGATGCCTGTTGTCTTTCTCCTTCTACCTGCACCGACCTCCCCCCACATATCTGTTTCCCCTGCCAGCAATGTCCTGTGCCCCACTTCCCTCACTCTGTAACATTGTCATCTATGAAGAAATGTTCTCGGCCAGGCACACTGAGATCTTAGTGTTAACCCACTGACAGAAACCTCAATTCTCAGATTTTTTTTCTGCTTTATTCTGAAGTAAAAGCGGGGGGAAAGGATGAAAGCAAACCCACATCAGGGAAATTGTTTCTAATAAGTGCTTCCCTGGTTCTTCTCTAAGAGCAATTTATGGTGAACAATTTCCTGCCTCCTGCAGGGCTACGCTGGCCAGCCCCTCTCTCCCACCCATTCCTTCCAGCATACAGTGATAGAGAAAATGCAGCTCCACTGTTTCACCACCGAAATCCTCTGGAGGGGAGGGGCAGCAAAGAGCAGGCAAAGCAGTTCCTCGAAATGAGTCATGGTAACAGGGAAAAGGTTGATATTACAATTGTCGGGGCGCATGTTTGTCCTTTCTAGCCTAACCTCCTTGACACCTGCCCAGATGACACACACATGAAAAGAGCACACACACATCAGAGTGTGACGTTATCATCCCTGACATACCATGTATTGATTGTTGTTGTTTACTGTCGGTTTCCTCCCCTCCTGTCACCAAATGGCAAGCGCCCTAGGACTTAGTTTTTTGCTCGCTGTTATATATCTAGTGCATAGTATGCAAAACGTAATAGGTTCTCAACAAATATTGAATGAATGAATGAATGAATGATGGATGGATGACTGAATGGTGGAAACAAGTCACTAAACTTATAATAGTAGAAGTGTTGCTACTTATTAATTATACAATCTTAAGTAGGACTTAAATCTTCTAATGAATAAATGATGGGTGGGTGGATGAATGGATGGATGGACAGATGGATGGATGGATGGATAGATGGATGATGGATGAACCCGTTTAAGTCATTATCAATAGAAGTTCTGCCTCTTCTTAACTTCATGGTCTAAAGTCAGAACTTAAACCTCTGTGGGCCTTAGTATTCTCATCTGTAAAAGGGCAGAGCAGCATTTTAAAAGGAAAAAAAGTTACCGAAGAACTAACTCTACTCATACCTCCATGCCCAGCTCTAACACCATCATCACTGTGGAGACTCTACCTGTTAGTCCAACAGCATCTGACACTCCTCTAGATTCCTTCTATACCTTCTGTGTCCTTATCACGAATGATCACTGAGGTCCAAGAATGTGCGTTGGAGAACAGAACTTAAAGACTGACTGAGAAGAGATAGCCCCAGAAAGCTAACGGGGGCCAAGGAGAAAGCTAGAAATGCACCAGGTGACATTAAGACAAAAGGAAGAAAATTCACAGGAAGAAAGGAAAATAGAGAAGGCAATAAGGAGAGAAAAGCAGTAAATGCAGCCACAACCTTCTTGAAATCAGAAAATTATCTGCAAGAAAGTGATAGTTTTGTTTTTTATTTGAGAGAGACAGAGCTCACATGAGAGAGCGTGTGTAGGGGGAGGGGCAGAGGGAGAGAGAGAATCTCAAGCAGACTCCCCACTGAGCATGGAGCTTGGTGCAGGGCTCTATGCCAGGGCTCCATTCGAGGCTCGATTTCATAACCCTGAGATCATGACCTGAGCTGAAATTGAGTTGGTCACTTAACCAACTGAGCCACCCAGTAGCCCCTAAAGTGGTAGATTTTTTTACAGCAACGAAGGCACAGGCTGAGGGAAGCAGAAAGCCCCAGGGACATTATATCCCCATGCAAAGGATGGGACAGCCATAGGGTCATTCATCACAGCAAGGGCACAGGAGGGGATGCTTCTGCATCAATGATTTTCCTGTGTCCTAGCAGAAATGTCAGCATTCACTTACTATGTGAACAAACTATGCAGGATGCCAGAGGCGGGTCTCAGGACTCAGCACCACATGGAAGCAGAGGGACCCTATCCGCCGTGACCAATATCCCAGTTGAAGAGGAACAGTGCCCCCCAGTGCTCTGTAGCGTGCACCTGTCTAACTTTTAGCATATTTCATGACTGAAAGAGATTGAGAATCTCTTTAAGCTAAAACATATTTTAGGCTGAAGTATAAAC